TCACACTATGACCCCGCACACACTCCTCTAAGTGCCTGTCACACTATGACCCCGCACACACTCCTCTAAGTGCCTGTCACACTATGACCCCGCACAGACTCCTGTTCCTGTCACACTATGACTCTGCACACAGCACTGGCCAGTTAGCCAGTTCCTATTCTTGCCTATCTACTCCTTTGCTACATTTGCATTATCTTTACGTTGCACTCTGTTTACGTATTTATCAACTGTATGCAAATTCATTATCTTTGTGCATTATTTGTGTTTACCAGTGGCTAAAAAGAACATGAGGCTTGCATCGCATAGTGTAACAATAAACTTTCATGTCTTGAAACAAAATGTCAGTGGATTTAACATGGCAACGCAAGTTTCTCATGCTGGCTTCAAAAGAAGGCAGTGGGGGTGGATTATTAAGATGATTGGTGACAGAGCACAGAATGGATAAAAAATGGGGCAAATGAGAGCATGGGTCCTAACAATGTGACACAAAGACATACCCTCAAGCAAGGTAGTCCTATAGTCCAAAGATTCATGGGAAAGCATCTCGTTGGTGGGGCTGATGCTCCTGGCATTTGCCAGCATGTCCAGGTGTGGGATGTGAGCACGCCCGTCATACCAAACCATGCCCTCAGACACATCTACAGATGGAGGAGAAACAGAGGAACCTTCTCTGTAGGTGGACCTTCTCTGTACCACACAGAAAAGGCCTCTTCCAAGTGGACGTTCTTCATAAACTCCACTAAAGCAAGCTATGAATCTCAGATGTCATTTATACCTTTAGAGAGTAAAACATTACGGCTATGAATAATGAAGAGGTTCAGCCATGAATGCTGTGGCTTTCTTCATGATGCCAGTATGGTAATGATGGCCATATTTACAGGCTATGGCTGTGGACAGTCACATCTGATGGAGGGGTTCTGACTGGGTCTGGTAGAGTAAAAGACGCTAAGAATAAGAGACCCTAACCCTAATCCTTCAGCAATACAGACCTTCAACGGTCTTCTTCTTCCGCACGCAGGCGTAGAGGGTGAAGAGCAGCAGCAGCAGCAGGCTGACGGAGGCCGCAGCCCCGAGCAGCAGTAGGTAGCCCTGCTCCTCAGCCAGCCGCACCTTGCCCAGCATCACTGAGGAGGCTGCCTGCTTCCACTGCGTGCAGACATGCGTCAGTCAGACCCATTCCCATCAAAGACACTCCCAACAAATGAAAAGAGCGGATAAACCATAATATCAGCCATCTGTCCCACACACAGACAAAAACACACACAAATGCAGCCCACGATTTTATCGCTCTGTTGTCGCCAGCCTGACCTTGACCCTAAAACTAGGCAGTCAGAAGGAGATGAAACATGAAAAATGAGATTTCCAGCCTCAAAGTGACATGACCACTGTCTGCACAGGGGCAGCATTGCCCGCCACTGCCCCCCAGGCATCACGCCCACGGCTGGGGGAAATTTGATCATAGATATTGCTGTACTTTATCTCAGGGGACAGAGAAGCTTATTAGGTTTGCTTAGGGGAAATTAGGTTTACGGTTTTCTTGTATTGGCATGATGTGGGGGGAGATGGGGGCAGATGTCAGGGGGGTCACAGGCTTGACACTGGGGTGGGCATTTTACCTGCATGGAGGGTGACCTCAGGAGCAGGGAAGCATTTTAATGTTAAGGGCATTTCAATAACAGCAGACACTGAATCGGGATAATGTGTCAGTTAACATTTCAGTGTGGCTTTCAGCCTGAGGAACGTCAGACATGAAGGCATTTACAGCAGGACCTAAGGGGTGTGTGAAGAGCAGCAGCAAGAGTGGAGGCGGGGAGTCAAGACAAGAGCCCATCGATTATCATGAAGGCTCACCTCCACCTGCAGCTCCCTGGACACATGGCGGAGCGCTATGGGGACGGTGCACTCCAGAGTGTTCCCCAGCAGCAGCACGCTCTCACAGCTCTGGTTGGCCACCCAGAGGACCTCCCCCTGTAAGGCCTCCAGGTCCACACGTGGCACCTGCGGAAGGTGGAAGCATGAGCTTTACCTGGAGAGAAGGGCTCTGAGCCTCGCCTAACCCAAAGAGAGGAGCTCTGAGCCTCGCCTAACCCAAAGAGAGGAGCTCTGAGCCTCGCCTAACCCAAAGAGAGGAGCTCTGAGCTTCACTCCAACTCCATACAAACACTTTTATGGAGGAGAATCTGAAACGCTGGCAGGCTGCAGAACAAAGCGAATGAAACTCTGCTCACTCATTTGAAAGAGGATAAAGAGAAGCTTCTTGCTGTGGGGCCATTTGGTCCCCGCCTCTCACGCTCTCCCACATTCCGCTACTCCAGGCCTGTCTTAGACACACAGAGCCGCACCTGCTCCCGCACCGTGAGCGGGCCTTGGACCCCCACAGAGTGGCAGCCACACGCCAGCCCCCGCCGAGGCACATTTGTGGATTTCACAGACCCCACCCCCACCCTCTCCCCCGGCCGTGTGTGTAGAGTGATGTGTTTGCCAGGAATCGCTGTGCTCAGCTTGAGAGACAGATAAAAGCATGCAGACTAATTTTAAGCCTGGAGGCTCCATATCATCTATACTGTACAGCTTTACTTCAATTCTATTGATTTCTAATTAGCGTCTTTCACAACTCAGTCACCCCAAGGCACATGACAAGTGTGTGTGGCGATCCATTATTACATTATTTATACAGAGACAGGGAAGGGGGGGGGGGTTTGAATAGCCAGGTGGAAAGTGGCCTGGAGGGAACAGCTAAGGGAGAATAGCCAGGGTGAAATGGCTAGTTTAATGTAAAAATGTCAAGGATCCGGGGCGGCCCTGACATAAAAAAATGTAAAATAAACGATGGTAATTAAATTAAATTAAAATGTGCTATTTTATATTGGCTTTGGGTCGGCTGCTTTACCTTAATCTCTAAGACGTTCCTGTTGCCTTTGGAGGTTAGAGTCGGCTTCTCAAACTCCTCAAATTTGGGGTCCTCCACATACATCAAGGACACCTGCCCAGTGGAGTAGCCGTCCAGGATGAAAGAGACCTTGGTGATGACCGGCGGTTCAACTTTGAGGTCCTTCAGGGATGGCGTGATGCAGAGGATTCCCCTGTGATCCATGGCCAGCGTGCAGCTCTGCACACATGAGATCATCAGCATTAATCCATATCTCCAGCTTGACATGCATGCAGCATCAGACATCTTCAGGGAATAAGTGTCCTTTATTATTATAGCAGATGTCTGTGAGACTGACCAGACCAGAGTCCATTGGAATCGGGCTGGGACACGGCCAGAGTCCACTGGAACTGTGGACCAGTCAAAGTTTACTGGAACCATGATGGACCAAATTAAAGTCCACTGGAAGCATGCTAGACCAGATCAGAGTTCACTGGAACTGTGCTGGACCAGTCCAGAGTCCACTGGAATGTTCAGGAAGCTGGAAGCAGTTTGTTTTCCTCTCCTCAACGGTCTCCTGATTCTTTTGTTCTTCACACAGACATTTAATATTAACATGTATTGTCTATTTGTACTGCTGGATGTCACTAGCTGTTACTAACATGGTATAAAATGTGTAACTGGAAGGGAATCAATGATTCAGACTCGGCGCCTGTTCTGCTCCTGCCACAGCCTGCTCAGCCAGCTCATCCTCAAGCTGGACCATCTGTGGACCACAGTACCCGCCAAAGTAAATATACACCATATTTGCATTTCTACCAACCCTTTGTCGGTAGAAATGCAAATCAGGAGAATCAAGAGAAGAACCAGCTATGGTCAGCAAACTCAAGGCGACTTGCATAAACAGGGTCATAGTGCTAAGATGGCTTCCCAAGTCTGCCTCTAACATAGGTAATCGAATGAGCGACAAGGAGAAGGGCCAATCTGGCTGAATCTCCAAAGCTCTGTAAGCCCGGAAAACATAAGGATGAAGTGGAAAGCTTGTGAATCTCCTCTGGCACTCTGTCTGCCGCATGGCAGAACATTGTAGAACTTGTCACCCCCCCCATGGAAGATACAAGGGGCTGGATTGTCTTCCTTTCTGTAAAGCACCATTGCTGTAGGCAGCAAAGAAGACTACTGTGCCAATGAAGACTATGGTAATGATGAAGATTATGGTGCCATGTGGCATGACATCACCACAGAGAACACCACAGCCAATTTACCACATATCAATGACAGTTTTTCAAGCTCAGTGCCTATATTTTTTAACAAAATGTAATATCGCCAGCCTCGTATATAGTTGGCGTGATGTGACTTTAAAAAAAAAAATACAGTATGTGTACATTTATATATACACATACACACACACACACACACACACACACACACACACACACAATATATATATATAAATAATAATAATAATATTATAATAATAATAAAGCTAAGCGGTACATGTGTATATGCATGCACACAGAAATACCTTTAAATATCTGTACAGAACAGATCACGCGCCATTTGACAACCGCTGGCAGGCCCCCCTGCCCTGATTGGTCAGGCTGAACATGGGCAACACACACATCACTCAGTATGGGTCAGAGACACCGAGTGGCATGGCAGAAAACTGACCATTCATCTGTCTCGGCACCTTCCAATGAGCCGTGGAATAATGCTTAGCAAGAATGAAACCCAATCCCCGATTCTGCAGAACCCTCCCAGCCAGTGGACAGATCTTGGCATCAACACAGGAAGATGGGAAAAAGGTAAACGGGGAAACCAAGAAAGGAAAACAGGAAGACAGGTAGTCAGAAAATCATGGAAGTAGCGAGATAGGGAAAGAAGGGGAGAGGGAGAAAGGAAAACAGGGAAAGAAGGGGAGAGGGAGAAAGGAAAACATGGAAAGAAGGAGAGAGGGAGAAAGGAAAAGAGGGAAAGAAGGAGAGAGGGAGAAAGGAAAAGAGGGAAAGAAGGAGAGAGGGAGAAAGGAAAACAGGGAAAGAAGGAGAGAGGGAGAAAGAAAAACATGGAAAGAAGGAGAGAGGGAGAAAGGAAAACATGGAAAGAAGGAGAGAGGGAGAAAGGAAAACAGGGAGAGAGGGAGAAAGGAAAACAGGGAAAGAAGGAGACAGTCAAGCAGAAAACAGGGAGAATATTCTGCCCCCGGAACCTGGGGGGGGGAGGGGCATTACCATGGGCCCCTTTTGACGTGACGGCAGCTGAGCCTCGGGCAGCAGCCTGAGCATCATGTTTCAAAGCAGCAGCAGGGAAACCCGACCCACGCATGGACCCTGTAACAGCACCTCAGTGTGGGGGGGAGGAGGGCGGGGGTCAAGGGAAGCCTACGTGTCTCCAGCAGGGGGGTGTGTGAATATCTCCCCTGAAGGCAGCTGCGACGAATCCACTGCACTCACCGCCCGGAGGACAGCCCTGTCGGGCCCCAGGGTCACGAGCATCTGTGGGTGGCGGGCGGACTGCAGATAGGCCCCGCGTGCCATCACTGTGCTGCCTCCACTGGGGGGGGACAGAGACACTGTTAGAGTGACTGTCAAGATGAAGTGGACAAATACCCCCCCAACCCAACAGGCTACACATCACTCTCTGCTCCCTGACTTTTGCTCTCTCCATTGTCCTTCTTCGTGGCTGACTCACGGCTGTTTTACTTGCACAAAAATGTACTGAGGGCAGAACAAAATATGATTGGTTTAGAGAGATAACCAATTAGATTGCAGAGGAGGTGGGTCCAAGTAATTAGAGAAGGCAGGACCAAGACATTAGATTGGTTGGCCTCCTATAGTTGCTTGGACCCACCCCCTTGACAATCTGCTTAGTTATCTTTCTGGACCAGTCAAATTTCATTCTGCCCTGAGAACATTTTTATGTAAGTAAACCTGTGGTTGGGGAACACTCCCCGCCCCCCACCTGATGAATGAGCGGGTGGGTTGCAGGCCGCTGATGTAGGGGTCCCTGTTGTATACGAAGGGAGAGGGTGCCTCATACTCGGCGGAGTCCACTGTCAACTGGATGGGCAGGCTGGATGGTGAGGGCTGGCCGGGAGTTTCACAGACGATCATGGTGGCTGCCATGCTGCAGGACCAAAGGAAGGAGCAGAGATCAGACAGGCAGGCGAGACAGACTTCGGTCCCAGGGGCAATTCTGGGACATACAGAGTGAGATATGTAAAGAGCCGACAGAGACAGGCAGTGCAAAGCAGGACAGAATTCACAGAGTGCAGACAATGGAGTGCTAAGGAGTTCCTCACCTTTTAATCTCGCACACTGCCCTACCGATGGAGACACGTCTCACAGAACCGCTGTCTAAGAATCTCCCCCACAGGGTAAGGACCGTCCCTCCTGATTTAGGACCAAAGTCGGGGAAGATTCCCTCTAACGCGGTGTGCTAGGATTCGCAGGGAAGAGATGTCACAACACAGTCGGTATGGAGACACACTCCAACACAGAAATCACGCTCGCGTCTGGGTTTCACGATCATACCACAAAGGATAATCCACGGAACTCTGCGGCCTCCTGCCCGCTGCTGACTGTAACCGTTTCCACCTTGGAAACATTCACATGGCCCAGCATGCAAACCAGCCTAGAAGGGACAGTGCAGATCATGTAGCATCACATTAACAGACAGTAATCAGATGCTGTTTTGCCACATTTCACTGCCACTATACTGTACAACTGCACATATAAAAAAACAAATAAACAAAAAAATCTTGAATCTAAAGCCAGGGTTGTAGGCATTTCTTTGTGAAGAAACCCACCCACTGTTTTTAACAAGGTGGGGGGGGGGGGTTGGCATTACCGGTTACTGTTGCTTTCCTGCATGTCCAGCTTGCAGGGTACCCTGCCGGCTCGGACTCGGATCAGTCCTGGGTCGAACCTCTCACTCTTGTTGAAGCCGAAGTCTCTCCCACAGATCGTGAGCCTGGTTCTCGCATCCATGGGGGCTTGTTTAGGGGAAATCTGCAGTATGAGCCGACACATGCAGACATGAAGGACTTGCATAGTTGGCGTCATCACATGCACTGTTTCTAAGGACCAGTAGGGGGCATCCCAAAAACAACGGGACAGCATTTCATACCAGCCTGCTGAGCAAGCATGATTCCAAGGTAATTTGCAAGGTCAAAGGCCTTACATGTGTCTCTAAGATCCTGTAGGTGTCTGAGATAGAGCCTACTGCATGATGAGAAATCTGTGTTTTACATTCTGTTGGACGTAAATTAAGGTACAGAAGCTTCAAAAAGGAGCCGACAGAGGAACTGCCAATTTTCCCTGTGTAGTTACTGCTTTCACACCTCCTGGAAATAAGCTGCTTCTGCACCAGTCTTTTGCCTGAATCATCCTGCTTTTTTCATTAGGAATGTGACTGCAGGGATGAAGAATCATGAAACTTTAAAATGTCACAAAATCACTCTGCATGAGCGTGGCAAGAAAGAAACAAGCAGAAACATTTGGAGGAAATATTCGTCAGGTTCACACGTTCCAGGCCCCCTTGGGAGTGTGCGCCATTCAGTAGCGGTTACCGTGGAAATGGCAGGAGGGCAGGAATTCCTGGCCCAGTGTGTGGCGCAGTCCTGTGGCCGGGAACAGCGGTCCTGGCACCATCCACAGCCCATGAAGTCCGGGGCCAGGAGGCAAGAGCTGCAGGACAGCAGCTGTTCACAGCCTGGGCCCACTAGGGGAACCTTGGTGATCTGGGAGAAAAGAGGGGCATGTGATTATTACCTGGAGGGGGTTCTGAACCTAAGACAAAGACAGACAAGCAGGCAGACAAGCAGGCAGGCAGGCAGACAGACAGGCAGACAGATAGACCTGCAGGTAGACAGAGACACACAGACAAGCAGGTAGACAGAGACAGACAGGCAGACAGAGAGACTGACATACAGACAGACAGGAAGGCAGGTAGACAGACACAGAGAGACTGACAGGCAGACAGAGAGACCTGTAGGTAGGTAGACAGGGAGACAGGCAGACAGAGACCTGCAGGTAGACAGACACAGACAGACAAGCAGAGAGACAGAGAGACAGACAAGCAGGTAGACAGAGAGACAGACAAGCAGACAGAGAGACTGACATATAGACAGGCAGACCAGCAGACAGGCAGACAGACAGAGAGACAGGCAGACAGGCAGGTAGACAGAAAGACGGACAATGAGTGTCTGACAGATACTTTTTAATCCGGAAGTAAATTGCAGATCAGTTCAGGAGGAATCTAAACATCTAAAATAAAGAGGAATCTAAACATCTCCCACTGTTCGTCCAATTGCCTGCTCCACATTCCTACAGAACCCCATGGCCAGAAACGTTAAACTCCCATCTTAGAAGTGGTCTGTTGAAAGGTTGAAATGTCAGAGCTAAAAAGCCATTATCACAATGAGACAGATCAGGAGAGATTTATGTATCTCCCATTTTCATACAGTTAACTGGTTCAAGGTTAGTCACATGGAACACAATGAGTTATTTAAAGGCAGACTGATGAGCAGCTCTCCCTGAACATGAACACTACGTCTGCGTGCTTGCAGCCAGGGGTCATGCTTCATCTGATGACCGCACCTCCATGGCGCTAATAAAGGCTCTCAGGACATGCCAGGAACGCGTGGCCCAAGGCCAACCCATTCACCTTGTTTCCCGTCACCAACAATAAGGAGGCATCCAGCTGGGGAGCGGGAATCAGGGCCACTTCAGGGGACACCGGGCGTGGGTCAAGGCGGAAGTCCACATGGGGTGAGGTCCTCTGCCGGGAGCGGGAAATCATGACCTGTGAAAATGCCAGGAAGCAGGGGTGAGAGGGTGAGACACAGCCTCAGACCATACAGGCGGTAAGTGGGTGAGACGGAGCCTCAGACCACACTGGCGGTAAGAGAGTGAGACGCAGCCCCACTCCACACAAGGGGTGAGAGGGTGAGACACAGCCTCAGACCATACAGAAGGTGAGAGGGTGAGACGCAGCCCCACACCATACAGGGGGTGAGAGGGTGAGACACAGCCCCACATCATACAGGGGGTGAGACGCAGCCTCAGACCACACTGGCGGTAAGAGAGTGAGACGCAGCCCCACTCCACACAAGGGGTGAGAGGGTGAGACACAGCCCCACACAGTACTGGGGGTGAGAAGTTGAGACACAGCCCCACACCATACCCAGGGTGAGAGGGTGAGACACAGCCCTGCATCATATTGGGTGTGAGAGTGTGAGGTCCCCTGCCTGGGGGGGGAACCACAAACTTTGAAACGGTCAGACACTACAGCTGGGCTACATTCAGCCATGCCCTAGTGAAGTCTGACAAACATTCACTTAAATTACATTTGCTCTTTCTTCCAAAATCGAAACCCAAGGATTCTCATATCTGCTGTAAAATTACACCCAGTCTATAACACTCTAATAAATGCGGATTATGCAGTGAAATCTGAGATAGTGAAGCATCTGGCACTATTACCGAGATCTACCTGTGTAACTACGCTGTCTGGCCAAAAAAATAATAATTTTGACATTTGAATTTTCAGTTGGGCTGCCTTTAGGTTTATGACACAATCATCATGGCACCGTTTCCACAAGCTTATGCAACATTTCAACATTTTTTTTAATCCGGATTTGCATTAATTTCTCACCAAGATCTTGTATTGATGATAGGTGAGTTGAACCACTCCATAAAGTCTTCTTCAGCACATCCCAAAGATGTTCAATGGGGTTAAGATCAAGACTCTGGTGGCCAAATCACGTGTGAAAATGACTCCTCATGCTCCTGAACCATACTTTCACAGTTTAAACAAGATGAACCTAGGCATCATCACCCTGGAATATGTCCATGCTATCAGGGAAGAAAAATCCTTGGATGATGCATGAAGGTGTAACCTGGCCATTCAGTAGTTTCAGGTACTTAGCTAACGTCACTTTATTGCTGTACAACGTTGCTGAGCTGTAATAATGATCCAGTCATTGACTTTTAAGTATTTGCTGATTTAAATTCAAATGGTGACTTTTTTTTGGCTGAGCAGTGTATGTCTAGTCAAGCAGGACATGGGAAACGCACTATGTAACACATTCAGAAATGCTTCACTTAACTCTGGCTCTACCTTAAGGCACTACCTTAATGGTGAAAAACCAAAAAGACGTCGTGGAACATTCTAGCCAAATCAAAGGAAAAGCATACCGTTGAGACATATGCACTGAAGTTGAGGATTTCTGTGGATGAGTCATGAGTCATGGCACAGAATAAATTAAGTATGTTGTGGTTGACAGCAACACAGATCATTTACACTCAAAATATAAAATTTGGACAGTGTAAATCAGGATTTTGCCATCTTGCTCATTGTCTGCTGCCCCCTGGAGGACTGGCTCCCCCTTTGGGTCTGGTTAGGGTTAGANGTTTCCTCTGCTGCCCCCTGGAGGACGGGCTCCACCTTTGGGTCTGGTTAGGGTTAGGGCTTCCTCTGCTGCCCCCTGGAGGACGGGCTCCCCTTTTGGGTCTGGTTAGGGTTAGGGCTTCCACTGCCGGCCCCTAGAGTATGGGCTCCCCCTTTGAGTGTGGTTGGACCACAGCTTCACAATCGCCCTGATAATGGAAACTAAATAATCATCGGTAAGTGTGGGTGGGGCCTGGTTTGCAGGGCCTGGCCCGCAGGGTGGCTACATGGCTGGGGCCCGTGGCTATGGGGTGTCGGCAAGGACAGTGTCGGTGTGAGCAGGGCCAGGCCGGCAGGGCATCAGCAGACGGGTACCAGCCTGCAGGGGCTTGTGGTGGCATGGCCCGGCCAACAGCTGCGTCAGCACGGGCAGTGCCCAGCCCACGGATTCTCACCCTGGAGGAATTGGACTGGCTGAACTGTGGGGGGCCTGTGGCCCCTGCCAGCTGTGCGGGTGACCTTGCTTCCTGGGGCTGAGCCATGACAGCGGCAAGATGACTGCCGACAACTGGCCGAGACATGCGGTGGGATAGCAGTGGGACTCTGTGGACCACACTCGTACTATTTGGCCTTAAATCCTGTGCCGTTCAGCTGTTTCTCTACCTTGGTCAACCAGCTCTGAGCAGGATTTAGGGAATTTATGGTGAACATTACAGAGGAATAATGTCATGCGTTGCTTGTTAATAATTTATAACCTGATCCACTTGGAAAGTGAAGAGGTTATGGTGAGTTTCAGTGTAAACAGCTTTACATGCTCTGCTAAACTGCCCGAGATGCTGTTTGCTACCCTTTGGACAACACCCAAGGAATTTGTGTAGACAGGAAATCCTAACCTGCATGGGAACCCTGCAACTTCCTGCTGGAAAGGCCAGGAGTTCTCACCCCCAGACTATCCTCCTACTCGACTCTTCTTACTAAAGGCCACATACCCTGGACCACCCTAGACAAGCGAACCTCCCGCCTGCTAAGTGCAGAGGGTTGGACTCCAGCTGTGTGCCACTGGGACAGACAATGAGCTGCCCTCAAATTTCTGTCACCATAATATAAACTCAGAATCCATACCCCATGTGTGTCCTGCATGGTGATTAAACACAGGAGATTACTCTACCTGGATAACCCGGCCCGTGGAGGTGCCCAGGCTGGCCACGGTCTGCCCCCCCATGGGGAACACTGCGATGGAGGTGAGCAGGACATTGCTGAACTGGCCACTGAAGTAGTCAAGCCGCGTGATGGTGCTAGTGAGTTCCAGCTGGTAGTCATCACCGTGCTGCCCACAGCTGGACATGTCGTACGCGGAGCTCTGTAAGATACAACGGCAGGAAGCTGGGTTACCGAGTGCACTGAACAACCAAACCACTCTGTGCTGAACTTCCAGTGCTGCCTACAGCTGGACATGTTGTACATGGAGCTCTGTAAGACACACACACCCACAAACACATATGCACGCACACACATAAATCATATACACACACACACACCATAAACCACACACACACACACACACACACACACACCATAAACCACACACACACACACACACACACACACACCATAAACCACACACACACACACACACACCATAAACCACACACACACACACACACACCATAAACCACACACACACACACACACACCATAAACCACACACACACACACACACACCATAAACCATACACACACACACACACACACACTGTATGGTGACTTGCCTCTGCCATTAAAGCATTACACCAAGAGTCATCCAGGCGATGGAGGTAAATCTCTCCCATCAAAGGAGAATGGCAACCTGCCAGGACCGAACCACTGTGGCCATTCAGGAGGGAATCCAAAGTCTAAACAAATAGGCCCATTCAAATGCTCAGGACTTGAGCACAAACACGATTAGGGGGAAGCTTCCAGAAGCGTATTCCATTGCGTCTGAGAAATTGCATCACTCATTTTAACGTGAAGAGGCATGTGAAGGTGCCAGGGGCATTTTGAGTGACAAGCTCAACAGCAGTTCTGCTCGCTTCAGTAACCTGAATGACTATGGCGCAATAACGGGGTCATGTAACCTGTGTTTTCACAGACAAGAATGAGGCAGGCAGTTACAAATGGAACAAGAGAACCGTGTAAACTGTAAACAATGTGGATTTCCACCTGGGGGCGGCACTGTAATGCCAGCCCATCCATGAATGATCTCACTTCATGTGCCAATGTGCCCGGCAGCCATGTACTTTGACGTCAGGCCTGGGGTGGCGCTGTAGAGCAAATAAGCTCTTAAGTCATGTTCATGAAGTGTGGTATGAATGTTATATTAAAAAAGTAAAATGTGAAAATTTTGACCAATATGAATATATTTTCCCTAATATAGCCAATGCTGATAAGCAGCTAACCTCTGAGCCACTTTCAGCAGTCATTAGCACTGAATCTTTAGTGCTCGCTGAGCTTGCGGGTGCAGATTAAATAAAAACACAATGTGACATCTTTCATCTCCATGTCCAACATCTGTGATGCAGCCGTGCATGCAGTGCCCATTGTATGAACCAATCTTATCATTTATATCCCAGGATCAGTTTTGCATGTTACTGTCTGGGGTGTTTCCCTGCCTTGTGCCCTACAATGTCTAGGATAGACTCCAGACTCCACAACTTGCTACTCAAGAAACAGCTGCAAGATGCATAATTTCCACCAAAAAAAAAAAAAAAAAAAAAAAAAAAACAGGAAATCATCATGCCAACCACAACACAACCAGAATTTGATATATAACCTTTTGCTTTAGACTACTGGCAACCATCTCTGCAGTGAGAACAAAGAACCAGCAAAGTGTTAAAACACCAAAGACGTACATCTAGCCTGCTTGGGGAGGCTGTTTCTGCCTCAGCCTGTCTTACTGGAGGAGAACTGCAGAAAGACGGAGCCTTATCACCCAGAAATGGGTGCCAATTTGCCCTCAGTGCAATGATGACAGCTTGCATGCGTCATCGTCAACATCAGCTCTAGAGAACAGCTGAGCGAACAAGAACAAGGAGGCTTTTTGGTTAGCGATTACCTGGTGCTGAGAGATGAACAGGGGCTGAAAAAGAACTTTCTAATGATGTAATGTGTGCAAATAAAACAAGGACAAGGTACTTTTTCCACTCATGACCACAATAGGCAGTGATATGCCATCTTGATGACCAGCTTTCTCCAGCCTGGCTCCACCAAACACTTCATGCAGGCAGGAAAGGGCTGATCCCACACCTGGATCGCAGTGAGTGGCCTGGCCCCCACCCTTCCAACCACATTGTGTCATTTGGGATGTCGGGCATGACCGCATGTTTACCTGCCATGTTTCAGCATGCCTGAGGGCTGGAGAAATAGCAGTATGCACAACCAGCACCACCCCCACCCTGAGTCACCCACACCAGTCCCAACATGAACAGCAGAAGGTATGTATTGAAGACCATGCTTAAGACCGTGCTGAAGACCACACTGAAGACAGCACTCAGGACCACGCTGAAATCGGTGCTGAAGGCGGTGTTGAAGAACGCATTGGTGCTGAAGATGGCACTGAAGACCGCACTGAAGACCATGCTGAAGGAGGTGCTAAAGACCAAGCGGAAGGTGATGCTAACAACCTCGCTGAAGAGGGGGATTGAAGACCATGCTGAAGACTGTGGTGAAGACTATGCTGAAGGTGGCTCTGAAGACCATGCTGAAAACTATGCTGAATGCAGTGCTAATGTATGCAATAACAACCGTGCTAAAAACCGCATTGAAGGCGGCTCTAACAACTGTGCTGAAGATTGGGCTAATTACCATGCATTCCAATGCGCTAATGACGGCACTAAAGATCACGCTGAAGGTGGCACTGAAGGCGGCACTAATGATCACACTGATGATGGCACTGAAGGTGGCACTAATGATCACGCTGATGACGGCACTGAAGGTGGCACTAATGATCACGCTGATGACGGCACTGAAGGTGGCACTAGTGATCACACTGATGATGGCACTGAAGGTGGCACTGAATGTGGCACTAATGACCACGCTGAAGGTGGCACTGAATGTGGCACTAACGACCACGCTAATGATGGCACTGAAGGCGGCACTAGTGATCACACTGATGATGGCACTGAAGGCGGCATTAATGACCGTGCTGATGACGGCACTGAAGGTGGCACTAATGATCACACTGATGACGGCACTGAAGGTGGCACTAGTGATCACACTGATGACGGCACTAGTGATCACACTGATGATGGCACTGAAGGCAGCACTAGTGATCACACTGATGATGGCACTGAAGGCGGCACTAAAGATGACACTAATGACAAGTGGCAGAGGCTCAGATGGTCGAGAAAAACACGGCTGGAACACGACCATCTGACAAGCGGTGATTGGCCAGCCAAGGTCCAAAAGGTCACGTTTCAGACAGGCACAGAACTCGCACCCTGACCTCTTCACAGCAGGACACTTGCGCTCGTGGGCCTGATCGCAGGCCTGATCTGCAATCAGTAAACTGTTTGTTTTTTATAGCCCCACTGGGAATATTCTAATTTGGAAATGATGCGTGTGTAATTAAACGACTATCAGCCAGCAGTCCCCACATCAGAATTGCATTACGCACCGTGATTCCTCATGTTGCAGATTCGATTTCAGACCAATTTGCTGCTAGCCGCTTTTCTCGAATCAATCGTAACACAATGATAATTCTGACAGTGACCGCAGATGTCTTATTCTGTATTGTCAACTTCCTTATAGACGGCCCACTGTGTCCCGCAATTACGAGCAAGATCAGGCCAGCATCTCTGTCTGTTTAATTAACGGATGTGGCTTAGAAGGCACATGCCGGCTGATCGATGGCGTTTGAATCCGCCGCCTGTCACAGGGACCATCCATCTATCTTCGGTTAGTGTGTGGAGCACCTCCAGTTTTGTACTAATGAACTGCAGCCATATGTAACAAGAAATGGGGCGCTTTTGTCTTTGTGCGTGACTCCACAGCAGCTCTCGACAGTCGCCTCTCAACGTGGAAACCGCACCAAATGAAGACTGTGCCATTTCCTAAAAAACAACTCTCCTGAGAGTGAGCCCTTACACTGTGACTGGCTTTGTGTAACTGCCATGCAAGGAGGGTTTCACCACTTGCACTAGGAGAGAATCAAATCCCCACAGTGCAGCGCTGCACATTGATGAGCCGTTACTACAAAATTCTGTGCAATACTTTCCGACATTCAATTCATGTTTTATATAGCGCCTTTCACAATATAGGTTTTCCCAAGGCACTTTACATGGGTATAATACACTCCAACATCATTTGTACACAATAATTTAAAAAGTGGAAGGCAGAAAGATTTTTTTTTCTCCCGAGTTTTTGGATCCTCTCCTCTGTTTTCATCTGGCTTGCTTGCTCACTTGCTTGTTTGCTTTCTTTCTATCTACATATATCTACATCTGTCCACATCATCATCTTTACCATTTTAAGAGCAGCTTGCAGAAAGATGCTTTAGTCTCTGATGGATGAAGAGAGAAGGAGAGCATGGAGAAGGAGCTTCCTGATCACAGAACAGGCTCCGTCACCCCAGACCATCAAAGGGGATGTTTCTCAGCCATAATCACACCAAACTTTTGCCTGGAAATCTTAGTATACCACTATACTGCATTTACTCCCAAATCACAGGGCTGATCCCAGATCAGGTGGCGCCTCATCCCTCCATTCCTACCCCTAACACGCTGTTCCTCCAAGTGCGACCATCAGCTCAGCAGAGCTAAATCATCTGAGACACTGATGGGGAAATTCATGGCACTATTTATCGCGGATTTGTAGACTCAGTGTCTGACACTGACGGATGAGGAAGAGCTGCAGAATGAGGGTTCATGGCGGCGATGAGGGGTGGGGCTTAGGCTCTTACCGAGTTGTAGCAGAGCTTCTCGTCGGAGCCCCTGAAGTGATACAGCTGCCGGGTGTGACACCTCTGCATGTAGTCCCTGAAGAAGACGTTGATGTCCCGCAGGGGGATGACACAGACCGCCGAGCTGGCCGTCGGCTCCGGGGAGTTAGGCCGGCTGCGGGAGAAGGCGGCAAACAGCACCTCCTCCCCTTCTGGTAGGCCCATTTCCTCCCTCAGGAGCTGGCCAGGCTGTGCCACGTGGGCGGCCTGCAGGATGTTGAAGACCTCGACACGGGCCTGGCGGCGGCGCCGCTTGCGGGTCAGCATGCACTCAAAGGGCAGCTCGGCGTAACGCCGCAGCTCCGACTCACCGGCGCAGGTGCGGGCGATGCGTGTGTGGAAGGCACGGGAGACGCGGTCTTCCCGCTGCACAGTGAGGAAGAAGGCATGTGGGCCGCTTCGGAAGGCGTGCACATAGTGCAATGGGAACTCCAACACCAGCGGCGGCAGCACGTCCAAGTAGGAGCGTCCCGAGAGGAAGTGGAATCCATCCTGCGTCTCCTTCATCTCCCGCACGGAGATGGTGTGCAGAGGAGGAGCCCGTGGTGACGCCAGCGTCAGGGCTGAATTTGCCACAAAGAAGCGGACCACACCCCCACTCTCGACGCTCAGCACCTGGGTGCCCTCTGGACCTGCGATGCAGTCCGGGCAGCCATACTGCCCCCTGCTGGACTTGGGTGAGAACATGCAGACAGGCCCAGCGTGCTGCTGGCTACCATCCAGCATGTGGCGCTGGCAGACGCCGCCCAGCGCCGTACCACAGCTGAAGAGCTCCTCGTCGTAGAAGGTCTCCACCAGAAGGACCATGTTGGTGTTGTTTCTCAGGAGGCCGGAGGATGTGTTGCCGTGCTCTGAGCACGCCTGGCAGGGCGGGCAGCCAAGGTTATCCAGCACCGGGCCACTTTTGTACTCCCAGAGCACCCGCAGGTCCTCACTAAGCGAGTAGATGCTGTTCACTGCACCCACATATATACGCCTGTCATGTGTGAGAACGCTCTGGATTGTCGTCTTGCTCACAAAGGTGGGGAGCTCATACTGGACCGAGAGATTGAGGCGGGAGCCAGCTGGGGGGTCCTCACATGGCCTGGCAGTGCCGCCCCCCCGCCACAGAGAGCCCAGGAGGAGGAGAACGCCAGCCAGCGGCATGGTGGAGATCCGCATGATGTTCCTGAGAGCCAGCAGGAAACTGCACTTTAAAGCTATAGTAATATATGTATATATAAAAAGGGGAAAGGAAATCAAAATATGAATGGTACCTTTTAGCATATTAATACTGGAAAGTCAGACTCTTGTGTACATAGTATTACTGAGAACAGCACTGAAAATTTGAATCAGAAAAACAGACAAGACACAGAAACGGCTCTATTCAGCCAAGAGTGCAAACTCCGCCCCCCACTCTCCACATCGAGGACATGCTGACAGAAGCCTGGATGGTCCTTTGTTAGTCTGCTGGATCTTTATGGGCCGAGAGCCTCGGAATACCGAGGGGAGTCAGCGCTGACTCCTACTGACTCAGTGGACCAGTGGTTAGGAGTCGCTGGGCAGAGCTGAAGTCTGCCCAGCCTGCGGTCCCACTGATCAGCTGGGGAATTTAATCAGATAGAGCAATGAACAGAAAGACGGCCCGGACTGGGTGGGGGGTCGTATTTACACTCCGTTTACTTTCTGCAGTCTTATTGAGAAGGGTTAGGGTTAGAGTTACGGACAAAAACCAGAGCTTTCATTGTGAAGGACACACACAAAGTACAGCAAGGGAATAATGTAACAGACCCAGACAGCACACATATGTTGAAATGACATTGATTCCATATCAGACAAAAAGGTTGAAACAACATTGGTCTTCAATCTTTCACTTTGTATGGACGTTGAATCAAGGTTTTGCCACCATTAGTTTTTCAATATTGAAAATCTGACCAAAAATCAATTCAGCTTCAACATTGATAATTTAACACTGACCATAATTCAACGCATTTAACTATAATTCAACGTTGAAACAATAACATGATGCTATCTGGGGAGGGACAAGTACTGTTTTACCTCTTTTCTTTACGCACTGCCTGTGAAGTGTGTTCAGGTAAATGCTGTTTTACCTCTTTACGCACTGCCTGTGAAGTGTTCACGTAAATGCTGTTTTACCTCTATACGTACTGCCCATTAAGTGTTCAGGTAAATGCTGTTTTACCTCTATACGTACTGCCCGTGAAGTGTGTTCATAACATAAGAAATGTACCTGATTTTACAACAAGCCGCTTCGACTTCTTGAAATAGACTGCAGTTAAAAACTAGCAAAACTGACAATATTACATGGCACACGGTCATTTTCACAATCACAATCATTTTGAAAAGCAAATTAGAGGAGCTGAAAGTCCCCCTCCGCTTTTATAAAAGGAGCCGAAACACTCAATGCGTTTATTTTATAAAATCACTTCTCCTCAATATGAGAGGTATAAACGCAAGTCCCGTTTTTTGCAATAAAAAACTATTTAGAACACAATTACATTGATCAGTTTGCAATGGTGTTGAGATATAAATGCGCTTACCAGGGATGTGTAGCCTTGAATCAGATCATCATTGCTGCCGTTTCATCTGACGGTCCAAATAAACCTCGAGAAATGTCCAGCAAGGGGTCCAAACCCGCAAATCAGAGCCTCTCCGCCCGAAGTGGGACCAGGAGCACCACTGGGACTCGTTTCCTACCACAGACCACCGCCTCCTCCGCTCGCAACGAGCCGCGGCTCCTCCCGCCTCTGGCGGCCGCAGCCGCAGGTGAGAAGGACCGGATTTGGCGTTGTGTGAGTCACCTCAGAAGCCCGTTAAAAGCCCAACAACAACAAAGACGGGGAAACGGGCAAAGCATCAAGTGGCACCATCCTGTTAGTGTCACATGCACTGCCATAGTATGTGAGGAAGTGTCGAGTCCACACTTGGAATCATTATGTAAAACCGCGATCTGTGTGGTTAATTATCCCACCGCTAAATAGGCTATATGACCGGCACTGGAAGTACGGTGGAAAAACGCAACGGGCCATTTTATTTTGCGACGGTAAATGGTGCGGTGAAATACTTCTTTGCATATCGCAGGTGTCGATAATTACTGAAGACATAGCACGGTGATTATCTGACAGGAATTTCATATTAATTTTCCCAGTAGGCTACAATGATAATGTCATGGTTGCTATTGGGCGTGAAATGAATTTCGGCAATTTGCCGTGGCTGCAATGCTGTAGCTGTTATGTCTGTGCGTAAAAGTTTGCCTCTGTTGTGGAAATGATCTCAACTCCGTTAAAAAACCTCAAAATCAAGGCAAACTGCAGCTGGAATATACCAGTAATATAACGTTGCAACTGATGTAACTTCTCTTGTTGTTTGTACTAAACAGTATATAAATACATCCACAAGGAGAGCAATTACGGTGCTTTTATTGAGCTCTGTGTAGCATGTAGCATACTTCTGTTGGCTGAAACCCATTCTACAGCCTGTCCCTCGTATATTTTGGTTCAGTTCCGTATGTTCTGATGATGACGCGATGTGGATGATTCTACCACCCACCCTAGGCAGATCCAGGGGATCTGGGAATACTTCAGATATAACGGGAGTTTCAAAACACACTTTGAATAATGGTGTCTGATAAGCAACTTGCTGCGACTGTGAACGACTTCCACCCAATTGCCACAACTGCATTTACACACATCATATATCAGGAAGCACCGGGAGCTGGACAGGAGCAGACGCCAGTTCACCTCAATGGATGGAGGAAAGCCGCGCAAGCATGAAAGAACCGGTACATGACGAATGCCAGGGAAAACGCTGCCCGGCGAAACAATAACCCTCAGTGGTGTATTGACAATATGCAGTATTTGTAAACGCGGTTTTGCTGCCACCTGCTGGACAGAGCAAGGTGATGTGCGTGAAGTAGAGTGCGGCTCTCCAGTGTCAATCTATCCGTTTTGTTGCTTGGGATTAATATTACCATTTATTTAATAATTTATAGGTATCTTATAAGGAATAGAAATAAAAACGTAAACTCTGGACATATAGGTATGATAATGTTAATACCGACATTATTGCAGGTCAGCTGGAATCAGCGCACCCAGACTACCCTGCCGTGTGAATCTTATCACATACCCGCTACCCTGCAGAATGTTCAACATATTATAAAAATCCAATTTCTCTGCGTCAGATTTGATCAAATGACACGGATGTTTTGTCCTATGAAGGGCATAGACATATTGTACTTTAAATTGCAGAGTAAGATTTATAAAGCAATTTAAGTTTTCAAAGAGTGTGTAATCCCACAAAACCACAAGCAATATCACTTGAAACAGTGCTGTCAGTATTGCTTAGAACACTAATACAAAATTATCTGATGGACTACATGAGCATGACGAGTCCTTAACTGTGAGCTGTAGGCCTGTTTACTGAAGGGGCGTGATGAGTCTCTAACTGTGAGCTGTAGGCTTGTATACTGATCTGGCGTGATGAGTCTCTAACTGTGAGCTGTAGGCCTGTTTACCGATGGGGTGTGATGAGTCTCTGTGAGCTGTAGGCTTGTATACTGATCTGGCGTGATGAGTCTCTAACTGTGAGCTGTAGGCCTGTTTACCGATGGGGGGTGATGAGTCTCTGTGAGCTGTAGGCTTGTATACTGATCTGGCGTGATGAGTCTCTAACTGTGAGCTGTAGGCCTGTTTACCGATGGGGTGTGATGAGTCTCTAACTGTGACCTGTGAGGGGGTATGGCAGCAAGGGCTTGTGGGTAATCATACAAAATTCTAGGCCACTCAGTCTCTGAATCTGATGTCAGAACTCCCAGGTGCTTAACACTTTATAAACAATATTCTGATGATTTATCCGAATCATACTTTGAGGGTTTTTTGTATGAAGTCTTCTCATTATGCAGCTGTATTATATAAAGCTGTCTAATTCCACATGGTTTCTATTAGTGATACCAAATGAAGCTTCATGAACTATTTGCTGTATTTTTGAGTCCACTAATTGGCGCACTAGGCTTGCTTCGGGGCATGCTTTGAGCCCTTTTTGAACAGAGAGCAGTGGGCTCAGAATAGACAGCAAATGTTTTATGAAGCTTCGTTTGGCAGTCACTAGTTTCTATACCTAAACCCTGCCTGGTTGGCGCTTGCTTTAAACATTGTTTATGTTGCATTTCTGAAAGCTCACCAGAAGATGGCAGCATCAGCTACATCCAGCATATACAGGAATCAGAATCAGAATCATTTTATGTGCCATGGACGAAAAGTACAAGGAATTTGTTTTGGTGGTGGCAGAAGTACGCAATTTCATACTCTCAAGACAAAAAAAATACACAAAACAATAAATATTATAAAGGTAAAAAGAGAGATACAGAATAAGAAAATGTGCTGATAATTAATTAACAAAATGACATATAGGCATATAAAGCAGGGTGAGCACAGTTTGGGATTGTGCAAAAAGGCTTGGCATCAATGGGAGTATAGAGTACAGTGGGTAACTAAGTACGGAAAGGAGTGACAGGGGCCAGTGAGCTTCTCATGGTGCCTAGTTTCGGAGGCAGTGGCCTGGGGAAGAAGCGGTTCTGGTGCCGAGCTGTGCTGGTATTCGGTGCTCTTATAGGGAGACCATGCCAGAGTTAGTGACCTGGGTGTGAGGGGCCAGGCAGCATTTCCCGGCTCTCTTTCTCATCCTAGATGCTCACAGGTCTTCAAGCAGAGGGGACTGGCAGCCAATGACCTTCTCCACAGAAGTCTCTGCTTAGAGAGCAGTGATGCAGAGACAAACTTGACAGGCATGGAGAATGTGAACTCCTAAAGTTCAGTACTGTAGGGATGTTTAAAGACACCTTTATTTTATGATCATAATAATTTTTTGCCCTGCCATATACTCTGTCACTGTCCGCGCCAGGAACACCATGCTGACTTTTGTTAAGGTGAGATCCTGATCTGGCGTGTGTTTATTTTTCAGCCCTCTTGTGTAACAGACACAGCTGTGTCCCAGTGGCCCTGCATCAGCATAGCAGGTGGGCTATAGTGTGTTTCTGTAAAGTCTGCAGGATTACATTCATCACCGACCGTTTTTATGGCATGCGAGGCCTGAAGTTGGCTCTCAGTTGGTCAGGTGATTACAATTTTATGTTTGACTTTTCACAGCTGAAGAAACACCTCCGGACAGAAATATGTTTGACCTGTGAACAAACACATGATTTTTTTCCCCAGACATGGCATGTTAAACATGCATAGTGCCTTTGATTATCACTGTTAATCCATGTTGTTGCTTTTTCTTTTACTTTTATTTTAGTGTCTTCTATTTGTAATTTTTAATTACTGCTACTTGAATTGGGTTTTACTTGTTTTTTCAATTTCCATTTAATGATTACTTTTATTTGATCTTGTTTTATGTGAAGAACATCGAATGGCCTCTGTGTCTGAAGTGCCATATAAACAAACTTGGTTTAACTAATCTCCAGGGGGTTAGGGTTAGGCTTGCCTAATCTCCAGGGGGTTAGGGTTGTCTAATCTCCAGCGGGTTAGGGTTAGGCTTGCCTAATCTCCAGGGGGTTAGGGTTAGGCTTGCCTAATCTCCAGGGGGTTAGGCTTGCCTAATCTCCAGGGGGTTAGGGTTGTCTAATCTCCAGGGGGTTAGGGTTAGGCTTGCCTAATCTCCAGGGGGTTAGGGTTAGGCTTGCCTAATCTCCAGGGGGTTAGGGTTAGGCTTGCCTAATCTCCAGGGGGTTAGGGTTGTCTAATCTCCAGCGGGTTAGGGTTAAGCTTGCCTAATCTCCAGGGAGTTAGGGTTAGGCTTGCCTAATCTCCAGGGAGTTAGGGTTAGGGTTGCCTAATCTCCAGAGGGTTAGGGTTTGGCTTGCCTAATCTCCAGGGAGTTAGCTTGATTTGCTGTGTTGTTTGTATCTCTGGGGAAATGAGCATGATTTGCTACGTTATCGGTGTCTCTGACCACCTGGATGGTTTTATGATTGTCACAAATCTGATCTGAAGGTGAATTAAGTGAGAAGTGAAGCGACCAGTGTCTTTCTGCTTTTTTGAACATTGCGGTGAATTCAAGTATGGAGTGGAGCTTCAGACTTTGCAGCAAACGGCAATAATTCACTGTGACCCCCTCTGTCTCCTGCTGATGGTGCCAGAAGTGTGGAAAGTGGCCTCCAGTGGTGTGTGGGGTCTGTCTCTGCCCAGTGGTTCAGGGTTTTGAGCTGTGCTGGGACGGAGGCGAATGTCAGCGTTATCATTATCGTCCCGCAGACCTACAAAGCCACCATCAGCAGAAACTCTTCCTGTATGGAGACTTACTGTTTCCCATCACTACTGTCATCAGACATGGGGGGACATTTTAAAAATAGATTCATATGAAGTTTTAACAGCATTGTTATCTAGGCCATGCAACCAGCCACCTTCCATGCTGCTGATCCAGCGCAATGCAAATGTATATTGTTATTCAGTTACAGAGTTTTAATAAGAGATATTTAAAGTATTTTACTTACAAGCCACTAGTAAAGAAGCGGAGCAATCTGTGTGTGATTGATTACGTCTTTTAATGTATCCAGCTGTAATGTTCAGTAAAAGCACAGTATTAAAATAATCACTTTTATCATGAAACATGGTCAAACTACAGGAACAGCAGTAAACAAAGTGTGACTCCTGTCAGATATAAGGTCATATCGGTGTTGAGCGGAGCGGCTTAGTGCGAATTAGAGCGGAGGAGCGGGCGGAGCCAACAGTCTCGTGAGCGAGGAGCGGAAATTCTCACCGCTCCACTCCGCTAAAATGCTCTGATGCAAAGCAATCCGGCGCCAACGCTAAGCAGTCAGTATCAAATGTACTGTAACATTCATGGAGTGGAATGGACACATGGGTCAAGCCAGACCAGGGATATGAGCTTCGCATGAACAACAGCGGATGAGAGAGCCATTTTGGCTGCCAGATTTCTGTCGGTCTGAAGCCTCCAGTTTGACATTGTGGTGTAGAGTGTAGCGCACAAACAGGGCCCTCTGCAATGGCTAAAGATGCCTACAATGAGGTAGTAGCGGGCACATGCAAGACAGTGTGTGTGGGAAGCTAGATGGACAGCCCTGGGACATCCCAGAATGCCCTGGATGGTCTGAGAAGACCCTAGGTCCCATAGTGACAACAAAGAGAATAAGCGAATCAAAGGAAGCCATGGATTTTGCTCTTTATCCATGTTGATGAATTTAGACAGAGAGAAAGCATCCATGATTCCGCTGGCAAAGAGGGGCAGGTGACCGCTAGACCCCGCCTCCCTCCCAGCTGTCTGCCCTTGTGGGCAATACCAAGTGTTCTCTCTGGCAGGTGTGGTGCTCCTCATGCCTGCATCCTCCTCACACCTCCTTAGTGAGATGCATGTGAATGCCACTGAAGCACTTGCCAATGGCCTCGAAGAAGGGGTCGCAGTAGGTGTGGATGCAGATGGAGTAGACCCGGCTCGCACATTGGATATCGATCAAGTAGCACTTCACACATGGAACAACAGCCCAGATGTGCAGGAAGGAAAGGATGGCAAAAATGATTCCCCAAACCAGGGCCAGTGGGATGCCCACCAATGCCGTCAGCAGCCGGTAGCACCAGTACTTGGTGACAGTGAAGGTGGTGAAGCTGGCCTTCCACACGCCATCGAAGCTGTAGGTGCCAGTGGGCTCGGCAATCACATCCTCAAAGTCCACCTGAAGGAGGAGGAGAAAATGTCACGGAGATGAGGACATCATCCAGCGATGGACACTGCAAACTGTGAGGTGCTCAAATGGATGACAGCTTCATGTTGTTCACACACAGCTGTTAGAAGGTGTGACCATGCTGTGTTTATGGGATCTATAACTCAGTGCTGACATTCACTGATGTAAAGTTTGCCCTCCATGCGGATCCTTCTTACAGTGTATCATTACAGTAAGAGAGCACCCTGATGTAGGGTTTATGGGATCTATAGCTCAGTGCTGACATTCACTGATGTAAAGTCTGTCCTCCATGCGGATCCTTCTTACAGTGTGTCATTACAATAAGAGAGAGCCCTGATGTAGGGTTTATGGGATCTATAGCTCAGTGCTGACATTCACTGATGTAAAGTCTGACCTCCATGCGGATCCTTCTTACAGTGTGTCATTACAGTAAGAGAGCGCCCTGATGTAGGGTTTATGGGATCTATAGCTCAGTGCTGACATTCACTGATGTAAAGTCTGCCCTCCATGCGGATCCTTCTTACAGTGTGTCATTACAGTAAGAGAGCGCCCTGATGTAGGGTTTATGGGATCTATAGCTCAGTGCTGACATTCA